CATTTAGGGACGAACTTGGAATTGATGACGGCATCCTAACGAAAGGTCAAAGAATAATCATTCCCTCGACGCTACAGGATGAGATTCTAGAGAAGCTACATGCAGCACACCAGGGGACTGAGAAAACGAAACTCAGAGCCAGGACCGCAGTCTACTGGAGAAACCTTAACAGTGACATTGATAAAATCACGCAAACATGCACAACCTGTCAGAAGCACCAGACATCTAATGCAAAACAACCTTTGATACCAACAGAGATACCACCACGACCATGGCACACCATTGGAACTGACTTATTTCACTTACTCGGCTCTGATTATCTTTTAATAGCCGATTATTACTCGAAATACTCATTTGTTAGGAAGATACCTAAGGGACAGAGTAATAGCAGAACCATCATCAACATGATGAAACAGATATTCAGCGAACACGGAATACCGACCACTGTTCGATCGGATAACGGCCCTCATTATGACAGCTTCGCCTTCACAGAATTTGCCAAAGAATATGGATTTCAACATTTAACCAGCTCCCCTCATTATCCTCGAGGAAACGGCTTCATAGAGAGTCAAGTAAAGACAGTCAAGGCTGTCCTCCTGAAAGCTCTCGAAACCCAACAGGATCCCAACATGGCTCTCCTCTGTCTGCGCACCACGCCTATTGACAGCAAGCTTCCATCGCCTTCAGAATTGTTGCTAGGAAGAAAGCTGCAAGACAATCTACCACACTCAATCAGTAGGAGCCCATACAGCGATCAAGTCATTGATCGTCTACAGGAGAGACAGGAAAYTCAGAAATACTACCATGATCGCCACATCAGAAATCTGCCAATTGTCCATAGTGGTACTAATATCACGGTACAAAATCCCGCAACCAAGAAATGGGAGCCGGCTGTCGTTACAGAAAAGATGAACAATGTGCCACGCTCGTATATGGTTACAACCGAAAAGCGAAGTGAGCCTATAATGAGCCAGCAGATCCTGTGATAACCCAAGAACATTCCAGCAACGCAGATCCATTTAAGAGCACTGCAAGCTGCCCACCAKGAACCACAATCACCAGAAGTGGAAGAATCAGYAAACCACCAGACCGTTTCATTTAAGGACGCTGATATGTTTTATTGTCACTTATTGATATAATAAGTTTCGTTGTTGTTGTTCACATATCTATCTTAACACAATATTTATATTTGTTACGAAAAGGAGGATGTAATAGTATCATAGTTACGTGATAGCTCTCTCTCATSTCGCYCAATGTGAAGAACATGCCAAGTTACTTATGCTGTATTAAAAACCAAATCAATAACCAACATAGCCTCCAGTAAATATCATGACAGTAGCAATCGTTTCAGCGTTTCTAGACAGTGTGCTTTKATTTGTCTCTCAGCTTTGTTATGTGCCGAATCGTGCGATATTTCGTCATGGACAACTATAATAATAATCTTTATTGAGGAAACTTTTTCATTTACAAAGAAATGGTTTTCAAAAAGGACCTCCTAACTGACATTATCGATAGAATTCTAATCGAGGGAGATGTTATGTACCTAAAAGCTTTTGAAGATCGTTCTATACCTGACGAAGAGACAATTTCCTTGAACTATCTGCCTGATGGAGTCCTTTATTTAACGATAAGAACATCCATGGAGACAGAGCCAAAGCGTAACAACCAAACTATTGACTTGTGTCAMCAATCACCCAACGCTGCACAAAATCGAAAACAAATGTCCAGTGTGACAAATACTAATCAAAACAAATCGCCCAACGTGGCACAACACCAAAATCAATCGCCCAACGTGGTACAAAATCAAAATGAAACGTCCAMTGYSACAAAAMCTTATCAAAATCWATCGCCCAATGAATCAATGGTACCAATCGGCCACTTGGCTCACGGACTATGGTTTGWTTCCCGGTCCGGGACTATATGTGATTTGAGTTTCTAGACTGGTTCTCTTCCTTGATCCGAGGGTTTTCCTCCSTCAGTCAMAAACTAGCTTTGAGGAGTGTCGTGTAGTAAAATAATGAATGTTGAGGTAGTGAGTATGAGTGATTATATAGAGGGCCACAAGTTTATTAGTCTAAGGACTATTACGTGCTACCCTCTCAAAACAAAAGACATTATTGATTTATYTATTCCAGCTCACAGAGCCCCGGAAGGAGCAGTTCATTTAGCCAAAGAAGTTAGTAGGCTGCCTTCCTACAGCAATTCGCTCGTGCTGATATTGACATCCCGTCTAAATTCTGCGAGGTTGCTAAAACCAGGCTTGAAATAAGTGAGGAGAGTAGGTGGCTAGGCATGTGAGGTCACGAACATTGTCAACACGGAGTACGTAACAAATATATTGTAAATAGTTATGTTGTAACATGATATGTAGTGGTGGTGGATTGACTTACTGTGCACAATATTGAAACACGATTGTTTAAGAAAGAATACACTATTCTAGACTCAAAAGAAGTGGCTACAGTCTTTACTCTGAGATTCCGCGGTAGTTAGAGTACGACCCGTAACACATACAAGATYGCTTGAAGTTGACAGCATCAAAGAATTGTTGTGGAACACAAATATTATACAATATGTGCAATCTCAATTAGACAGACAAGCTATCTACCTTCCGTCAGAAGTGTCTTTCATCTGAGACTCAACTTCTCGATTCAACCCACAAGGTAAGGGATGCAGATGTGAATATCTCCAAGAAGTTTTGGAATAAAGAGGTGAGTTTTCAAAGATTTGGTATGCCATTACAAGTCTCAGGCAGCGCACAGGGAAGTTGGAGTTGTGGARTGGGAGTCATTCTTTCCGCAAGAGAATTCTTAAACAAAGCTTCAAGATTCAACTGGAGWTATGAAAACATGAGAAGAGAGCGAAAAGAACTTTGTTGTCCAGTGGAGCGCCAAGTAAGATGACTCGCCCAAGAGCAGAGAAACATTTTATATATCTTATCGCCAAACTAATTTATGATGCACTGTATACCTATCTTATCTTTATTTCATCTAAGTATCCCAACTGTTCTTAARGTGACTCGCCCGAGAACAGAGTAGCAGAAGTTACAGGTGACTCGCCCGTAAATCTGTTCATGGGATACCTTTCATATGTACACTAAATTAGAATCTGTTCACCTTGTACAAACTATGGTTTTATATAATCTAATTTGTAAATATATGATATATAACGAAACTTTGTTAAGTTGGTACTGACTGTTAATGATTTGTAYATTTGTAAATCTGTAAATATATTTAAAGATATCGATAACAGTATATTATAACTACTCCATTTTAAGTTTATATAGGAGGCTTTCCTCGCAGAGATACACCAAATTTGACACTGTCAATCAAAAATCAAGTCATAGAACCAAACTAAAACTGTTTAAAATTGGAATTGAAATTAAGCCTGTAATAGCCAACAAGCCTTCGGGACTACGGAAATACTGCTTTACTAAATTTAAAGTAGCACGTTTTTTAGTAAAATTGAACATAATCTTTTGGTGTGATGTCAAATTTTCATATTAGAGCTGAAAATCTCCGATCAACTGGTACTCCAGTTTCAGTGCTATTCCCGGTTCTGCATGGAAGCATTGAAGAATACAAGTCTATTATTTTATTTACCATGGACTCGCATCCCGTGAAAACTGTGTTTAGAATACAGAGCAAGGCAAAAGCAATTAAAAAAAAAACAGCTGAAAAACGGAGATACACCGAAAGTTCAAAAAGCTCAACACGCCGCCGATACCAGAAAAGCTGTCCTTACCCTTGGTCAAAAAATGTTGACTTTAACGAAAGGAATGAGGGAGGAACGACAAGATAATAGAGCCRGTTCTATACCAAGAATCCACAAAGAAGATTTAATTAGTGACGAATCGGTTGGCMGTGGCAGCTTTGGAGAATGTTACAAAGGATTCTATCGTGTTAACATACCGGTAGTTATAAAGAAATTTAAAAAGTCRACAAAAGAAGAAGTTGTACACGAAGCAAAAGCGATCCAAGAATTACAMAAAATCGAACATCACCCCGGTCTTCCATTTCTGATTGGAGTAAATTTAAAATCAACACCTTACATTCTAGTTACACAGTTTCATGGCAGAAACGATCACGCGTATACAATATTAACTGCCATTGAAGACAAGTTAATACCACTTACAATCGATTGGCTGAATATTTTGATTGAGGTCTCAAAGGTAGTCGGATTTATCCACAGTCGTGGTTGGATCCACAACGACTTAAAGGGGAATAACATTGCCCTTCACACGTCCAACGATGAAAATCGGATACCCGTTGTGATTGACTTCGGCAAGTCCACAAAGATTGCAGAAKCTAAACTTAGTTCCAAAAAGAAAGACTCGAAACTGTACTACTGGGTTGCCCCAGAAGTTCTCTYGTGCAAAAGCCTCCCTTCTCGGTTGAGCAACATATTTTTCACTAGGCAACATTACTAGGCTCGTATACAAGAAAGTTCTTAAAGGCAAATATTCTGCTCTCAAGGACTTGTACCTATCTTGTCTTAATATAGACGCACGCCTTCGCSCACAGAGCGCTCAGGCAGTAGCCAGAAGCCTTGAAAGATGCAAGCCGATGCGATGACTTAGTGAAATAGTTTATTAGCGGCTCTTCTAGCTGTAAGTACTTTCATTTTGCTTATATACTGGAGTTTTAATACTGATAAGTTTGCTTATGTTTACAAGATCGATATTCTATTCGTATATCATAGAGCAGCATAATCATTTTCACGTACATGTATTCAAGAATTATTGATTCAGTTAAGAACGCGTTAGTGATCGGGTTAGCATCGCTAGCGGTACTGATATAGAAGGGTTTTCGTGTAGCAGTTTCTACAAATTTATGGAACGATTACRGCAGAATTTTCAAATGTTTTTGAAACTACGGCTAGATCAGTTACCAACTCATGCRAAGAAAACCATTCTAAGACCTCTAATTCTTAAGTTATGTGTTTGTTAAAATAATATGATATCGTGGACGACATAGAAGTACGTAAGTGMTGTATTACTGTTATACAGTAACATGATTTCAACATTTCTTTTAGAATAAAATAAATTGTTTTTATTCATATGTCACATGACGCAAGTTACATACAAAAAAATCATTATAACAGTATATTATGTTGACCTCAATTCAATACGGCTTCARCCTTAAGGTGTTAGATTTGTCAYCAACGCCCTGTGCAAGCAAGTAYCTTKTGGTTGGAACCCTGCTGATGTTGGTCGTTTCAAAGGAYGAACATCAGCAGGGGTTGAGCTTTTCAGAGTCTACAAAGCTCCTTATGTAACTCCATTTTTAGTTTTTCTTTATTTTATTTTCCATCTTTTTCAAATGAAGATATTTAGCATGGTATACATTGTTACATTCACAATGTGTCACCAATTAAAAGCAGTGACAAGAACAAAAGCTGGTTTGAATGCACCCTACAAACCAACCAGGGAAACATATCGAGTACAATAGCATTACATAGAGTTCCTTTTTTTGGCGACTCTCGTCCTGAAGCAGTCTCAAGACGAAAGAAATGGGTCGACTTTCTGAAGAGAAAGCGACAACTACCTGTTGACTGGCAACCGAGCAAATACTCTGCTGTTTGCTCCAAACACTTTAAAAAGGAGGACTTTAAGCTGCAATACATTATAGACGTGCCAGGATTCCGTCCGGCCAAACCGAAATTAAAGCAAGATTCGTTTGGTGTTTGTGTTTATCCGTCGATTGTCTTCGAAGTTGACAACAAAGTCACTGAACGTTCGGAGAGGCAGGCAAGTGTAACAGCTGAACTTTTCTCGAGCTTTTATGTTTGCTTGTAGACTTCATTATGTATTGTATTTTTAAACAGGCTAAAAGAACAGTACTAAAAGGCATTAGACAAGGTGATTCGGCCGCTGCYCGTCTTGTAGCCGACGCACAGCATTGTGAATACACCGAAGATGTTGGACAAGACTCAAGTTCTGCTACAGACACAGGTGACAGACCTAGCACACCTRATGATTTACAATGCACAAGTATATCTCATGACACACGTGATTCTCTGGAAATTTGCTTGGATCAGGTATTTTCAATCTATTTTCTTTATACATGTAGATTTGGTCTAGGTTATAATGTGCATGCAATATTGTTGTCTGCAGWCTACTCCAAAAAGTTCAACAAGCACTATAAATACCTACTCGGATTGTGCAAACTGTGAGAAGCTGTCAAAAAGAAATCGTCAACTCGCGAAAGAATTGGATGGCAGCAAAATTCAAATTGAGAAAATTGCGAGCAGAGATCAGCGAACTCACAAAAGAGCAAGAAGGTATTATTTTGTTCTAAGTTTTGYTCTTTCWACCTAGTATAACTTAATAGAAAATTGTCAGCAAATTGTTTTCCCAAAAATTATAGTGTCCATAGRTAATGCTAGCAWTTTTTTAATGACCACATCAAACACCTTCTATATTTATGTATTATTGGCTGATAATGTTTTCCATTTACTTCCTTCAATATGTAGCAACTGGCACTAGCATGGATTGTCCAACTATCCCGATCCCAGATCTAATAAACACCTATTGGCAAAAAMATTATAGTATCAATTTGGTTATATGAGCTAAGAATAAAATCAGTTGAAAACAAAGGATTTTGTCACAATTYATTTGTTGTCATGACTGATTTGATTCATAGTTACTAACTAGATATTACTACACACTGGTTCCTCACTTGTTTTGTATTCCATATTTTTTAACAGGCACATTTTAGCCATTCTGCATTTTAATCAGAATCTCCAAAGAGATGTTGTTTTAGAAAAGAATGGAACAGCACAGATGAAAGTGGTTTTCCCAAAATTCAAAAATGGCGAAGGGACAGTCCGTGACATTAGAGTTAAACAAACCTTTGGTAGGTTACTAACTTTATGATAAAAGCACTAGGGATGTAGGGTTTACAACACAAAAAAAAAAAAGCAAACAAAAAAACAACAATTTTTAGGGTCAAATTGTACAAATGGTCCAAATGTAATTTGCAGAAGGATACCTTGGCAGAATGACTTCTTCCAACTATATGTATTGTGTTCTAGAATATGTTGATGCCATATTTAAAGTCATTGAAGAAGGCTTAGAAAACCGTGAAATTCTTCGAAAGGCAATGAAGTACATTAAAGAAATGTCACCTGCCCATATGGATACAATGCTTGAAAAAGTGTCGAAAGAAGAGGATATCAAGAAAAGGTAGCGTCAAAAAAAGATGTAATTAAAATGTACATAAAAAATTTGTCTGATGAGAACCTCTCCATTTCTATCTACTTTTTCTTAATTATTCTGTAATGATTATAACTTCATATTTTTTGTTATAGCTGATGCAGTTGAAACTACAACACAAA